TTGCAGGCTAGTACAAGTTATCTGGGTGACTGTACAGCTGCCCAAAGCACTTGTATCGCAGGGAGTTCTCCTTGGGGGTAGCTGTGTGGGCTGCCATGCCTCGTACGGGAGGGCTGGATGTAGCCACCTATGGCCCTGCGTTACATCATTGGTTGCTAGGGTGCAAGTGGTCCTAGCATCCAGTGACTGAAGTGGAGGCAGGGCCTGTGCTGGATTATGGCTGGCAGTGGATTCACAGGCCTTGGAGGCTGCTGTATCAGCTGTCAGCCAGCCATAACCCAGAACAGGTCGGCAATTGTGGTCCTGACAGAACAGCCACTCGGTCCATCATTTAAGAACACTTTTGAGTATGACAACATTACCAAAATCAAGATTAACCTTACCATTTGTAATTTGAGGGTTTTTTTTTTTAATGAAAAATAACATTGCTACATAAAACCCAATTGAATTCCAAGTTTAAATCCGCTTCTACAAGTTTAAACAGACTCCCGGCGGCAAAAGTCGCCGGGAGTCTGTTTAAACAGCCCCGATGCTGGCGACGTACACTGTACGTCGTCAGTCACGAAGGGGTTAAAGGTATTTAATGTCTTTGTTTTCTTTCTAAAGCAGTGTCAGCCAGAGTAGAAAAGCCTGTCCCCTCCCAGCAGTGGCAGACTGGAACAGTTTCTGTGGTGAAGCAGTGGTCTCATTGCAGAGGTCCGACACATTCCCTTACTGAGTCAGGCCCATAGTTTTGCAATTGTTAAATCTTGTGCTCTCCGCTGATTGTAGAGCTCCGGCGTATTGGATCTGTGCGAAGAGATGACTGCTTCCACACAGAGAGTAAGCCCTCGTTCACACCTGAACGTTTTGTAGCGCGTTCTACGCTCGACGAACGCTCTACAAAACGCTCAAACATCTAAATCCCATTGTATTCAATGGGTCTGGTTCACACCTTGGCGTATTTCAGCCCGTCCCTAACGCGCTACAAAACGGCCCACGCCTGAAAAGGTACATGTACTACTTTGGGCCATTTTTGTTGCGCGTTTCCATTGGGATACAGCCAAGTAGCCCTCGGAAACGCGCGTTTGTCGCGAATCGCGGTAAAAAAAAACGCGTGACAGACTCGCATATGCAATACGCCTTGGTGTGAACCAGGGCTAAAGTTCCCACTCTGCAGCATACTGGCAGGATACAGCTTTTTCTACTTAGGCTGCGTTTCGTTTTTAAAGAGAAAAAAACTCAAACTTTGCACACCTTTTTGTTTCGATGCACCTGGAATATGTTTAACTAATTACTCGGCAAGTCTTCTTAGTTTATTTTATGGTTATTTTTGCATTCCAATGTTTGATATGAACATGACATTAGTGGTATTGTAGCGCATGCTGACCAACTCAATAAAACTATCAATTGTATTTGACTAAATATAGGATGAGGAGGAACCAAAGGATGACGCTTATAGCCCTGATGGTGGATACATCCCAAGAATTCTCTTCCTGGGTAAGTTGCGCTAATTAAAGCTTGTAAGTAGATAGATGTCACCAGCACACTAAAGGGATTTAAAATCCAAAGTGATCTTTATTTAAAACGTCATGTCATCAGAACAATTTATCAGGCTCAGCAATACTTGTAGACACACAGATAATTACTTCTAAAGGTAGCCTTATACAATTCTAATTTTGCTGCTGAATCGAATTAAAATTCAAGCCCGTGGGTGGCCCTGTCGGTACCACCTGGCTTGACAGACGTTGACTGGACAATTGTCAGCTGAACAGTGCCTGAATCTGATCAGATGCAGTCACTATTTGGATTTATGGAAGCAGAACTTTAGTCTGCAGCAATCTATACTTACACACACACCTACGCTGCAGCTGCAATATTTGAATATTTATCTGACGTTTTCTACCCTAAAACTGAAGAGAAAAATGGGTCACATGACAATTCATGCTTCTTTGTCATCCTGCTGTGCACTGGCCTGTGTGAGGAGTTAGGTGAAGCCAGCCCACAAAGCCACAAGTGATATTTTGCATAGGCCAGGCTTATGTAAGCTAATACACTGTGAATAGTACAAAACCATAAATCAGATGCTATGCGTTACATGTGTTTGCAGTCTGGATCACACTGTACAGCATAGGACATTGGTTTGTACAATATACCAAGTGCTGCAGAGAAATCAGTCCCGTGATTTAGTGTGCACATGGAGGAGGAGGGTTTTCCAGATAACTCCAAATGCAACTGGCTCTATGGAAGCTGTGTGCACTACATAGAACGTGCTGCTGTGACTGACACCCCATGAAGCCCAGGAGGTGGGTCTATAATGGAAGTCTGGGCTAAGATGAGAGAAATGTCACCAGCACACCAGATTCCTTCAAGGATAATCAATTGTGGATTTATTGAAAACTCATGTCAAAAGCACAAGCGCTTTCGGGGTTGCGCAGGGTCCCTTCATCAGGCATAGCAATGTAATTGCCAATGCGTAGACCATGCTTCAATGTTATCTAGGTCTTGTTGAAGTGCACATATCTCCTGTTTAGAATTTACTGCCCTACACAGTTTTGTATCGTCAGCAAAAAATGGAAATCAAACTATCTATCCCAAGCTCTATGTTGTCGATGAGTAGGATAAGCAGGATTGGTCCCAGGACATACCCATGGGGCACCCCACTCGCGACGTTTGCCTAATTAGAGAATGGCCCATTTATTACTACCCTCTGGGTCCATTCTTGCAGCCAGTTTTATTGCAAACAGTTTCCTCCAAACCGATAGACCTCGATCTGTGTAACATCTCAAGGTTTGGGTGGTACATTGCACGTTAATGTACCTCCTCTGTCTAAATTAATACTGACCTCCTCATAAAATGTTAATGGATTGGTCTGACAATCTGTAGGTTGTGCAGACTGTTGAAACGGGTGGTGGTTGTTGCTTGCCACTATGGTGAGCATTTCTCCTTTCCTGTTTTATATTTGGTTCTCTCAGTTGACATGCCAGCTGGACCCCTGTGACAGGTGAGACATCTAAGCATACGATAGGAAGTTTGTTAGAATCTCTGTTAACATCACCAAATCGTTGTCAATAGGCAACTTGCATGTCTTAAAGTCGACTTGGCTGTACGTAACTGACTTTACAAAGCAGAGAAACTGTATAAGGCTCTTTCAGGTTGCCAAATTCATAATGTATTTCAAAACAATTTGTATTTTAGATCCAAGTGGGCATGTTCATCCACAGATTATAAACTCAAAAGGAAACCCAAGTTACAAGTACTTCTACAGCACTGCAGAGCAAGGTATGTAAGGTGGCTAATGTAGCTTTGAGAAAAATATCTACCTGTAATGTTCTTTTTTTTGCCTAGTTTGTATTAGAAGTTCTCTAAACAGTCCAAAAAGCCATCCACTAAACCAGTTTACTAGAGTAGTTCAAATAACGATGGTATGCGCCAAAAAGCACCAATTAGAAATCTGTTTTCTGCAACCTAAAATGAGTAGAGTAGGGCCAATTAAATATGATTTTTGATTGTTGTTACTGGACACCTTTCCACTCTTCACGTTGACCCAAAAGCCCAAAGTACATTTCCTTTTTTTTCTACTGCCTCTATACCGTGGTTGAGCCATTTTGTATTTCTTCAGTAGGATTTAGCTTATCTATTGGGTAACCAGCCATTGGCTAGCTATTTTTGGAGTTGTGTAAAGCATTTCCTTCCTGTGCCCTATAGGTGGCACCATTATACTTCTTTTCATTGCTTGCCAGGTGTGAACAACTTAAAGATAACTGTAAACCAGCGCATATAAACGACAACTGCAGCATACCAAATGTTTTTGATACTTGTTGATTATCCCTTTTGAACATTTGATTGAAAAAAAAAATAACTCCACACACAGCCATTAATGTCTAAACCGCTGGCAACAAAAGTGAGTACACCCTTAAGTAAAAATTTCCAAATTGGGCCCAAAGTGTCAATATTTTGTGTGGCCACCATTATTTTCCAGCACTGCCTCTTGGGCATGGAGTTCACCAGAGCTTCACAGGTTGCCACTGAAGTCCTCTTCCACTCCTCCATGACGACATCACATTGCGCTGCTCCACCTTCTGTTTGAGGATACCCCCACAGATGCTCAATAGGGTTTAGGTCTGGAGACATGCTTGGCCAGTCCATCACCTTTACCCTCAGCTTCTTTAGCAAGGCAGTGGTCGTCTTCGAGGTTTGTTTGGGGTTATCATGTTGGAATACTGCCCTGCGGCCCAGTCTCCGAAGGGAGGGGATCATGCTCTGCTTCAGTATGTCACAGTACATGTTGGCATTCATGGTTCCCTCAATGAACTGTAGCTCCCCAGTGCCGGCAGCACTCATGCAGCCCCAGACTATGACACTCCTACCACCATGCTTGACTGTAGGCAAGACACACTTGTCTTTGTACTC